CGCGCGCGGACGCTCGGGTGCTGGGTGCAGGCCGGCCCCTGGGGGCTCGGGCGCGTCGCTGTCTTCCCTGCGCTCCTCCTTGACCTTGACGTCGCCCTGGGGCCGCTCGGCCGGCGCCTCGGGCGGCTTCCCCGGCTCTCGGCCCAGGAGGCCCGCCAGGCGGAGGCTGTCGCTCAGAACCGCCTTGCTGTAGGGAGATGGCGGGCGCGCGGCCAGCTTGGCGCCGTCCTCCTTGGCCGGAGAGCGGCTCTCCTTGACGCGGGGCTCGGCCTCGCGCTCAGCAGGGACCCCGGGCCCGCACGGTTCGCTCTGGCCGCGCAGGAGGAGGCTGCTGGCTGGGTGGCCCACGGGGGCTGCGGGCGAGGCCCGGCTCAGCAGGCGCGTCTTCTCCAGGAGGTCCCTGGGAGCGACAAGACAGACACCCTCACTCAGCCTAGTGGCAGGAGGGGCTTCGTGGAACAGGGTGCCCAGAAGCAAGCTGTTTGCCACCAAGTTCCCACTTGTATGACCTCAAGGTCCTTGGGGAGGTATGTGTGTGTTGGGGGGGGGTCCCACACCCTCACAATACCCCACATCTCCCCTCCCCTCGACAAACAACTTGGAAACCAGCTTTGCAGCAGGACCCCAGAGCTCCCCCCACAGACCCAAGCCGCTACGCCCCTGAGGCAGGACAGACCCTCAGTGAGGAACCTGGGCCCCAAGTTCACTCTGGGGATGGGACCCTGGAGTCCTGCATTGGCTCTGGCCTACCATAGCTCCCCTTCATGAGGCTCCACGGCCCTGTGCCTCTAAGCCCTTTGCCCCGAGTCTGGGGGCAGGGATGAGGGTCGGCCCCCAGGGCCTTGGTAGGGGACCCCCGACAGGAGGGGCGAGGCTGGGAGCCCTCCTCTGCTCCTGTCCACTCCACCAGCCAGCCACAACTCAACCACCTCAGGTTCCAGACTCTGCTGCCGACTCTGGAATAGGACTCCCACCTCCCCTGCCCCAGCCTAGCCCTGCTGCCCCAGGGCAGCCCGCTCAGCCCCACCCTCCCAGCCCGGGGACTCACCCACAGGTGCCCCTCCCAGACCCGGCCCCACCTAGGAGATGCCGATGCTCTACTCCCTGCGAATGCGAGCTCCCTGCAGAGGCCCCGCTGTGGTCAGTGAGCCGACCTTCCCTGCTGCTGCCTCCAGGGGTGGACCTGCCCTCTGCATGGCTCCTGCCCAAATCCTGCTCCATCAGGGGTTCTCCATGGGGGCCCTCTCTCTACTGGGCTTTCCCAGCCCTGAGGGTACAGCAAGGGGGATCTCCACGCAGAGCTTGGATTGGCCCACACCCAGAGTTCCGCAAAGCCAGCTGGGGCCCACAAGAGCTGAGGGGGGCGTCACTCACCTCTCCTCCCTGCCCTTGTCCGGCTCTCGGTCGTGGTTGGTCAGGGCTGAGACCCGATCGGGGTCCACGGGCTTAGGCCATGGGGGTGGTGTGGGAAAGGAGGGTGGTGCCCGGTGCAGTCGGTTCCAGGCCTCGTGGGGGCTGGGCAGGCCATGCAGCACAGAGCTCTCCTTGGGGGCAAAGATGCCGCTGCCCTGAGCTGGAGAAGGGTGGGAATGTGAGGCCAGGACAGCTTCCCTGCCCCCACCGAGGGTGCCCTGTGGAACCGCAGGGCTGCTGGGGAGAAGCACACCATTCCTGCATCCCAGGGAGGTGGCCAGAGGGTAACAGTCGGGGTCTAGCCCAAACCCACACCAGGAGCCCGAGTGTGCGTGCATGTGGGTGAGCAGAGAGCAAGCTCGGTGGTCACTCACTCAGTGCGTGGCTCCCCAGGCCTCCGAAGGCGCTGCTGCCCAGGCTCCCCAGGCCCCCGAAGGTGCCCGGCCTGCTGAAAGGGTCTGTGGGGACAACCTGGGCTCAGGGTTCTGCGTCGCTCATGCCAGGGCTCTCACCTGACTCCCCTCCTGTGACACCAGAGCATGGCAGGTGCTCCTATACAGTCTGAGGCATGTCCTGCTTCTTGGGGTCACCTCCCCACCCACCTGCATCCTCCCCCAGCCCTGAGGGCTGCAGAGGGCCAGCCAGCCTCCAGGGAGCAGACAGTGCACTTACCTGTCAGGTGACCGGTGGTCAGGAAGCTGCTGGGATGGGCTGAGGGTCCAAATGGGTTGGTGGTGGGATGGGCAGCACCTGTGGGGGCAGGTGGACGGGGGCCTCCTGTTTGTGGGTCATTCCCAGGGTGGGGACACCCCAACTTCCTCTGGGGACACGTCTATACCTCCCACTGGAAGCTCACGAGGGAAGAGGGGAGAGAGGCGATGGCAGCAGGGGCCCCAGAGGAGAAGGTGCCGAGAGAGCTACCAAGGCTGTCCTGAAGACACTGGCCCCAGGGCTTCCAGCTAGAAGCTAAGAAGCAGTGTCCTAGTGGACGCACCTGCTCCCGCGATGTCCCCCAGCCACAGCCCACAGGGGTCACCACGTGGTCAGCTCCACCACTCGCCGGCGGGCCCACCCTGCCTCTGCTGGAGCCCGGCCCGCAGCACCTCCAGGGCGGCTGAGTTGGCCCTGAGAAGGGGTTGCTGCTCTGGGGGGGCTGGCCCTGCCACTACACGCGCCCCTGGTTCAGGAGGGCGGATTCCCGGCGCAGACCAGGATGGGGCCACACTCGTCTCTGCAGCGTCCCCCAGCTTGGGGGACACCTGCTTGCTGGGGTGCCGCCGGCAAGCCCCTCCACCGCACACACGCAGTTTCTCATCTCCGGGAGCTCCCCACCAGAAAGCTAGCCGCTCTCCTGAATCGCTCGCAGGACATCAAACTGGAAATTAGGAAATAAACAGCCTGCTGTGGCGCTAGTGAAGATGTGTATCTGCGTGCGTGGGTGGATGCGTTGCTCTAAGAGCACACGCAGGGAGCCAAAGCCAACGAGCCGACAGGCAGGCATCCAGCTCGGGAGCTGGGAAGGGCGGCAGCACAGACACGGCGGGAGAGACACCCAATCCCAGACCAGGGCAGAGTCCCGCCGCAGGACACAACGCCCGACAGGCAGGGCAGGCCGCTGGCGCCCGTGAGCCTGGGGCCCGGTCTGGGGGGCGTGCTCTGGGCGTGGGGACGGCACAGTAGGGCTGCGCTGTGGGTGGGCGGGGAGTCCAGGCTCCACACGGCGGAGGAAGCCTAGGCCCACTGCCTGGGCCCCACAATGAACGCACGTCCTGTGGACTCCACGGACTGAAGCCCAGTGGGAGGACCTCTGCTTTCTCAGGGCCACCCCTCTGTCCGGAGGCCAGCCTGGGTGCCCTTGTCCACACCCAGCACCCCAGCCTGCTGACCGCATGTCCGGGTGGGAGGTGGCTGAAGGTGGAGGTGAGCGTGCATGAAGATGGAGCAGGGCAGTCAGGGAGGGCTGAGAAGGCGGCACCCGCAGGGCCCTGACCGCTGGGGAGGGGAGGAGCGGACCCCTCCAGAGGTGGGCCATGCACAGCTGTGTGGGGTGCTCACACCACGGGCCCAGACGGCCGGCCTCGGAAGCACCTGCGTGTGAGGCTGGGAACTCGGGGCTCAGCACCTCGTGAACCTGACTCACTTGTGCTAACACGGGTTCACGCGGAGCGCCTGCTTCTCTTCTGGGAGTCTGTGGTTTGGGTGTGTGCGGGCAGAGGAGCTGCGTGACCCGCCCCCAGTAAGAGCCCTGGGCGCTGGGTCTGTGGGCGTCCCGGCAACACGGCACTTGGCGCGCGTCGTCTCGGTTCCTTGCCGAGGAAATGGGATGCGTCCTGGGCCTCCACAGGCCAGCCCTCGGCAGTCCTGCGCCCGGCTTCCCGCTGATCTCACCCACGCGCCTTTCCCCTTTGCTCATTCTGCTGCATCCCTTCCCTGGGACGCATCTTAGCTGTGGGGGTGACCTATGCTGAGTCCTGGAAGGGCTCCCCATGATCCTTGAACCTGGGGGCAGCCCGGGGGCCCCAGCCTGGCAAGACTGTGCCAGGGCAGGCACATGGATTCTTGGGGGCTGTGCCAAAACCCTTCCTGGGAGATGGGCAGGCCGGGCGCAGGGGAGGACTCCCCCCTCAACCCCTGCCTTGGGTGGGGGTGGGGGGACAGCAGAAGCGGAAGCTCCAGGGCAGAGGGGGCGCCTGGGGAGGGTACCACACACGGTGGCATGGAGGCGGGGGATGCCAGGGGGTGCCCCATGCATCTGGAGTTGTCCTGCTGGAGCGCCAGCCCAGGGAACAGGCCGGACCTCCCCTTTCCTTGCGCTCTGGACAGGGTGCCTTACCCGAGCCAGAGAAGAGGGGCCGGGCCAGGTCCTGCGGGTAGTGGAATCCGGCAAACACGCCCGGGGCAGGGGGTCTGCTGGACAAGTCCAGCTTGGCGCCCACCTCCAGCTTGTGGGGGTCCAGCTGCATCTGCTGAGAGGGACAGAGCACATGCAGGGCCCACCCGTCCTGCCAGGTGCTGTGGGTCATCCTACCTGCTGTGGTGGGAACGGGCCCTCATCCTGACCCAGGAGAGCCAGGTGCCGTCAGGACGCATGATGGACACAGGGGTGTCTCGTGCCTTCTGGGGCCTCTGAGAGCTGTGTTTACACTAAAGCACCTCAGTTCAGACATTACATTTTCACAGGTAATACTTTACCTGTGGTAAGATTTTGTGAAACTGAGTTGAAAGAGTGGATTCCTATACCTGTCGTTTTAAACATGCTTAGAAGTTTCCAGTGACTGGATTTGGCATCGCTATTAGCGTTTAAGTTTATTAAATAAGACAAACAAGCCTGTGGCTCTGCTGTGATGGTCCCATGAGGCTAAGCGGCCGGGCCGAGCGCTCACTGGTGCTGCCCACCTCTGGCGCCCTGTCCCGGCAGTGGGGGTCTCTGGCCCACAGGGGCCGCCCCCAGGGCTACGCCCGAACATTTGCGGAGTGCAACAGTGCTTTGTCCTAAGACCCTGTGGACTTCTCGCAGTGCATGTTGGCGGGATCGTTTCTGACAGCCGTGCACGGCGGTGCGTGTGACCAGAGATAGCAGCAGAGGGTGTCAGGACCCTTCTGGGTCGGGGGGCTGGGCCCCTGGCTGCCCCCGTTCTGGTCCGGGTGACCAGACCGCCTCTGCCCACCCTTCCCTGGCATCCCCAGCCCATGGCGCGTTCCCAGAGCACCCGTGGCTGCCTCTTCCTCATGTCATCTGGGTAACGGCCAGGGTGGCCACCTGGCACCACCCTGCCCCCTTCAGTGTACCCCGTTCACTGCTGAGCACCCAGGCACACACAGCAGGTGCTCAATAAGTGCTTGGAGGAAAGGTCAGGGGACAGAACTGAAGGTCACGTGGATGGCTCAAATGATGTTGGTGGGAACGGCACAGGGTCAGCTCATCCCAAACCCCTGCCTGGGGGCATCCTGGGCGACCCCTACCACCCGGCCTCCTCCCCAGCCCTGCCCCGTGTGCCCACATGACGGGCACACGGTGAATGTCTGAGGATCTCAGACGCGGCCCCGAAGGCGTGCATCAGGACACCGTCTGACCCGCCGGCCCGGCTCACCTTTATCTTCTGCTGATGGTGGTAGATCTGCCAGGCGATCTGCACGTGCACAGCACACCACTTCCCAGGTTTCTGTGACAGGGCGGGCCACACACTCAGCCACACAGTGGGGCCTCTTCCTTCTGCGCCCTCAGCACCCCCCGATTCCCGTTGTCGGGCACCCCTGGGGCCATCCGGGAGGCACCCAGAGTCCTCCTCAGCCACGACCCTCCCCCCCAAGGGCACAGGCACGCACGTGCACAGACACGTGCCTGCACACTCACCCTGACCGTGGTCCGGTATGGGTCGGACACCTGTCACGACGGAGAAGGAGGTGTTAGGTCCAGGCTCTGGGGGGGCCATGCCCTGCCACCATCGCCACAAGGGGACTGGGCTGGCTGGGGTGACCCCAGGGAGGGGAGGATGGGCAGTGCGGCCACCTACCCCGGGGCCTTTCTGGAGGAGAGTGTGAACAGCACTGGCCCGGCCTGTTACCTCGATTGGGTTTGAAGTCTGGAGGGAGAGAACAGGATGGGACAGAGCTGCAGAGCCCGCGCCCCCGCACACCGCCACCCGGGGGGGCCTGGCTTCCCACATCCTCAGTCCAAAGGTTTCTGCCAAGGTGGGAAGGGGCTCTCGACAAGGACATGCCTGGCTTAGGGGGCTGAGGCAGCCCTGCTCTGGGGAAGGTGAGAGGAGCAAGCCCAGTCCTCTCCCGGGCCTCCTGCGGCGTGGACGGCCCCGTGCTGGCCACCCCACATAGACCTCCCCTCTGCCCTGATGCTCCCCACGCCAACCTCGAGCACTCCCAGCTGAGGAATGATGCGTGAGGCCTGACTCCCATTGTTCCCTGGTGACCCCCCTGCCGCTGCCTAGGCTGGGGTCCTGTGAGGCCCCGCAGGGAGCACGTGAGCCCCAGCCCCCTCCTGCCGTGGGGCTGCACAACCACATCCCACCTAGCGTGGCCGGCTCACACCAACACCAGGACTGCAACACACACAACTGAACCCCGTCCACCCCAGGAGCAGCTGGTACCTTGGGCTGAAAAGCACCCTGTAGGGACCCAAAGGGGCCTGGGTGTGGGAGCAGGGTGGGCAGTCCGGGGATGGCAGAAGAGAAGGACGGGAAAAACTGCAAGAGAAAGAGGGGGAGCGTTCCAGGGCCCCGGCTGGGAGCATGGACATCCTGGGTGGGGACGCTGGGCCTGGCCCCCTGCTCTACATGGAAGGGAACCTGACAAGGCTCTGGGCAGGCGCAGCCCCACCCTTTACCCGCGACCTCTAGCCCACCGGCCAGCCCGGTGACCACAGAGGGACACTCACGTTGGAATGTCGGAAGTAGGGGCTGTCCAGCTTGGGTGCGTACTTATCAAACTGGAAGGAAAGAAGCGGAGAGTGAGGTCTCCCGAGCCTGCCCACACCCTCCACTGGGCCCAGCACCCACGCCCCCGTTGGGCCAGGCGGAGGCCCAGACGGCTGTCCTGCTTCCGGTGGCTGGTGGTCTGCAGCCAGCCGTCCCCTGGGCTCCCTGAGGACACTGGCCCAATGCCCTGAACTGGCCCGTTGGGGCCCAGCTCTCAGACTGGGAGGGGCCCCTCCCTGTTCTAACGGTCCCACTGCGGGAGGTGCAGAGTGGCCCATCTGCACCCTCCGACTGTACTGGCTGAGGCCCAGGAGGAGATACTGCAGCCATGATGGGGGGCATGGAGCCCAGCGACCTGGCCCTTCACAGACTAAAGCCTGGTGGCAATGGACTCTGCCCCACACAGCAGCTGGCTCCAGAGACGAGGGCCCAGGACTCAGGGCCCACCGGAGGGAGTCCTGGTCCCCCCGCCCTCTCAGTCCTCAGTCTCCAGACCTGCTGACCTGCTGCTGACTGAGACGCTGAAAACCCCGTGTGAGTACGACTGGCCCCAAGGCCGTGCCCCCCGAGTGTGGACGTGGGGCACCCGCCCAAGCCCACAACAGGGAACCTCACGACAGGACCCAGAGAAGGACCAGAGGGAGGCGCCAGGTGGCCAGACGGGGCGGCCCTGGCCGCGTGCGTGCGGAGAGCGTCTGCGTGTGCCTGCTGTGTGTCCCGCCGCCCGGGCCGACCCCGCCCACCCGCACGGGGGGCCTACGCACCGGCGGGGGTGCGGCGGGCGGCAGGAGCGGCGTCGGGGGCAGCCCCGCGGGGAAGGGGGCAAATGTGTGTTGGTGCTGGTGTGTGTGCTGGTGTGTGTGTTGGTGCTGGTGGAACTCCGCCCGCAGCAGAGCCCCCGGGCCCAGGGGGGCGCCGGGCCGCTCAGCGCTCTGGACCAGAAAACGCGCGTTCAGCTCTTGCCTGAGCAGCTCGTGATCTACAAGAGAAAAAGAGAGAGAGACGGAGAGGCACGTCGGCCGCGGGCTCCGGGCGGGGCGAGGCGGATAGTCACCTGGCACTGGTTTCGGCAGGCCAAGCCGTGGTGGCCGCTCGCTAGGTGCGGGCCCCAGGGTGGAGGTAAGAGAGGTGCCTGTGACCAAGTACCAATCAGAATCCCCGAATGAGGCTGGCAATACATGATTGGCTGGCTGAATGAGATCAACAGGCTGGCATCTAAAGGCAAGAGAGAACACCGTGAGCCCCCGGTGCCCCCCAAGCCGGCCACAGGGGAGCCCTGCCCACCCCCCCACCCCCCCAGCCCAGCGTCCTGGTCCCATCCCAGGGCACCAAGCTGCCCGGACCTGCGGTGGGCTGCTCAGGATTTTACAAAGAACGTGGAGACGAGACCCCTGGGAGAAATCTTCAATGACCTGATATTTGGCCTTGAAGGGACACCTGCCAGAACCAAGCAGGAGGGAGAGGCCAGGCTGCTGCGGTTCACCTGGAGACCCCCTACTCCAGGACTCAGCTCTGCATGCCCCGTCGTCCCAGACCCACTAAGGATGAGGGACTGCAAGGGTCACAGCAGGCCCTGGAAGCCTTTGTTGGCCCAGCAGCGGAGCCGCTCCAGGCGCCCCTCCCCTTGACTAGGCCTGGCAAGGGCTCAGGATGGAGCAGCGGATGCATCTGCTTCCATGTGCACATACGGGGCACCCCTGCGCCTGCGTGCGCGTGCACAACCCAGGCCGACAGCGGGCAGTGGGACCCCCTTGGGAAAGGCGGCCTGCGGGGGCCAGGGCCCCGCCGTCAGCCCCTGGGGTCCGTCCGGGAGCAGGTGCGGGAGGCTCTGCCCCGGGAGCCCGCACCCCTTCCCCGGGGAGCCCAAGTCCCTCCCACCTGCCCAGAGGTGAGGATCAGAGTGCGGGGGGCGGCGACCCCGGCCCCAGCCAGCACCTACCGGCAGGGTGTCCTGGGATGACCAGGCTGTTGGCCGGCAGCGCCGGGGGCGGGGGCAGTGTCGGGGGGGCGGCGAACATGGCCGCCGCGTGGTGCTGGTGCTGGGCCTGCGAGCGGAGCGCCAAGTGTGAGGTAGACAGGTGGGGGCCCGGCCCGAGAGGCGACAGGGACGCGTGCTTCGCGAGCCCGAGGCTGGCGCTGCTCCCGGCGCCGCTGCTCCTGCTGCGGGGGGCGGGGGCTCAGTGTCTGGGGGCGGGGC